CGTCATCACAACCATTGGTGGTAGTTGGGCGTGGAAGTTTTGCATTTCCGTTTATTGAGGATCTAAACTTGTGCATATGTGGGTCTGGTACGATATTTACGTTCCACGAATTCAACAAAATTTATTATTTACTATGCATATCAAATAAATCAACAAGCAAAAATTGCGTGATGTTTTATGCACCAAACAGATGCGAGGCATCAATTTTGACATTAAATTCAAATATAAATCCAATTTTTATCTTAAATTTACTATCTACGTAGTAAAAAAATTTTACTATCTATATAGTAAAAATATCATGACATTGTTTGCTCGTTTTGCTCGGATTCAAGTTGGTTCTAAAGTAATAACACAGTTACTTTATCGTCATGCAATTTTTTGTGCTTCACACAAGGCTTTAGTAATTGTTCTAGCCTTCTTTATATTCTTACCCTTGTGTTACCCCGCCTTCGATACTTATTACTTAAACCCCGCGAAAGATGTCAGTCATGAGTTCTTCTGGGAAGTACCTTCATTCAGGTCACAAGTATTAAAAGAAACCTTTGTTGAAAAATATGGCACACAACCTTTATTTCACATAGAGCAGGTTGTCATAAAGATAGCTAACTCGAAAATATACAATAATGGAAACGGTGTCGGTGTTTTAGATAAAGATATATTATTATGGACTTCATGTTTGCAAGGACAAGTTATGGATACTGTTGTGACGTATTCTAATCAGCCCTCTTCACTTGTTGCCAAAAAATATTCCCTTTCAGATATATGTTTCAAACCTTTTGATACAAATGCATGCTTGATCCATTCACCACTTGATTATTGGTCTAATAATGTAGACCATCTTTCCTCTGATACTTCTATTCTTAAAACACTCTCAAAAACAAATAAAATCTCCTCTCTTGGAATGTCTATTCCTTTAAGTTCTGTCTTTGGAAATACTATGTATGAGAAAAAAAAAATTATTAGTGCTGACTCGATAATTTTGACTTATTTTTTGAAAGACACGGGTGATAACAATGAAGGTCAGACAATGGCCATTTGGGAAGCGATTTGGCAACAAATTATGAACGATACCGACGCCACTTTTCGACTTAATGATGATCGCACTATGAAAGTAAATATGAGCAATCAAGGAGAAGTGAAACATATATCTTTTAATGTATGAGTCTTCTTTTTTATTCGAAATCTCTTACACCGTCTTTCAGGACCTGTGATCTATACTAGATCATAGTTTATATCACAGGTCGCTTTAAAGTATGCTATATATTATAATAAGACGGTGATAATGAGATGTGCAGGTGATAATTTTATATGCATAATATTTTCTTGTATTGAATGTGTAATTAATTTTATAGTCCGACTTGAATGGTTCTATAGCAGAACAAGCTTTTTTTATGTTGTCGTACCTAATTTTTTCTATATCCTCAATGACTCGTCTTCATTCCGTCAAGTCTAAATTTGGTCTTGTTTTCTCGATCGTGGTTCGTGTGTTTGCTTCGTTAATCATGTCTCTTAGCATCTGCTCTCTATTTGGCATCACATTAACATTTGACTCCGTAGCTTGGTGTGTTGAGAATTTATAAACCGAACTTCGTATATCAATATGCACGAATAATAAATTTTATTATTTTTATTCAGGAAATTATTGCCTATTATATTTATCCTGGTCGGTTTCGAGAATATGATCATTATAACAAATGCTGTAACTGTGATCCCTAAGCAATTTAATGTAAAGGAACGCGTCGCAAAAGGTAATATACAGTATTTGAATGTTCTTGGATTAATCTTTTTTTATATTAATTCATGGTACGCTTTTTGTAGGTCTTGAAAATGTTGGGTATGCTCTTACAAAAGTGCTCATAAGTTGGCTCTTGTTATTGCTGATATTTGCAGTGACGAGTATTGATTCGATTCGAGAATTCTGCATTTTTACTTCGATTGCTATGATTATCGATTATATGCTACAAATGTCGTTTTTCATAGCAGTTTTATCCATCGATCTTGAAAGATTGGAACTAGAGGTATAATATTTACATTTATTTTATAACGGTTCTTTTTTTTTCATAGTCAATTATTAATAATCTTTCGTTGTAAAAGATATGCACTTATCGTCCGGACGATAACATAAATAGAAATACTATTCCGCTTTTAGAAACAGCAAATTATAGCAGAAGGATTGGTTTTTCATTGATGGTTTGTATAAATTTATGATATTTTTCGATTATCATTTTTTTTTTTTTTTTTTTACAAGATTGAGTTATTGAGTTGCACTATCCTCTATAAAGGTCCTTATCTTCTTGGTAGCAGTGACAAATATTTATAATACAGATATTGAATTCACAGATATTGAATTCACAAATATTGAATTTACCAATTTTGAATGGACATCATTTAAGTCTGCATTGAGCAGTTTGATTGATAATTCTATGATTTTTCTTTTTACGCATTCAAACATTACTTTCTGGGAAACATTAATAGATAATACTGCTGACGAATTTTGGAGCACTGTTAATCCGGATAATGATCAATTTATCGAGGTTCTGCCTACTAGATATTTAACTTTGTCTTTTGACATTGAACAAGATTATATATCTCGTCCACTCGGTGGTGATGTAAATTTGAAATCAAGAATAAGAACATATATAAAATCTTTTGTTTGGTTTCTCAAAGTCATCATATTTCCTGTTATTGGTGTAGCATTTACCATATTTGCTCTTATAGGTTTCTTATCATCAGAAAAAACAAATAATGATGAAAGTAGAAATATAGCTGCGTCTTCACTTTCTGAAAGTTCTGATTTGTATGCTACCGCTCCTCAAGTTATAACTTTACGTGGTTGTCATTTAGCCGACGTGAATTTACTTTGCGCGAACTTTAATGGCATTATAATTACAAGTTCTGCCGATAAACATATTACGTCGTGGAACGGAATGAAAGGTACAGCATTAAGAAAACTTGAAAGATATATGCGTCGATGTGCAACTTGTAAATGTGATAGTAGTGGAGGAGAGAAAAATTGTATTTCTTGGCCGGTTAGAGCAATGTGTATGAGTGACAAGATCGAACTTGCTGCAGCTGGTTTTGAAGATGGAGTGATACGAGTATGGGACATAAATTCAGGGCAAGTTACTCATATCTTGAAAGACACCGTTGAAGACGTCGAACAAATAATGTCAGCAATTAATAATGATAATTCAGTAAAAGAACGAGTCACGTGTTTACAAATTGTAGTATCAACTTTAAACTCTTATAATAACACGTCTAAACCATTATCTGATCAAAAACACCTTGCCATGCTTTTGGCAACCTACCGAAATGGTTATTTTCGAGAGTGGGATATTATTTCTGGTCAAATTTCCCATACAGTTTTCACAAATCAAAAGGGTGGTATCACTTATCTTTTTGTAATTGATGATAAAAATGAAATTCGTATTTTTACTGGAGCACGAGACGGATCTGTCAAATGTTGGGTTCGTAAAGTTTATTTAGACGATGAACCTAATAGTACAGATTCAAATTGTAATGGATCACGTGATGACATGTGGAAATTGCTATACACGTTACCAGGGGAATTTGGAAATGCAATTACTAATGTAAGTGCTAAAGCTATCAAAATCAATAGGGGCTGTTTTGGTATTGTAGTTACTGGAACTGCAGATGGGGAGGTTAGAGCATATGATTACTCCACAGGCCAATATATAGAAACATTAAGCTATGGAACTTTAAAAAAACAGAAACTCGCAAAAGAACGTAAGGAGCAATTATTTTTGCAACCAAAACAGAAACAATTTTCAGAAGAGGATTGGTTTGAAGAAGATAACGATGAGTTTGAGTCTTGGGATGATACAGAAGATTTCGTTTCACACCAGGATTCAATTACAAGTATTATAATTCATCCATTTAAAGAAGAAAGTTGTCCATGTGGAGATATTGAAGAGACTAGAGGCTTTTCAATAATAACATCGTCATTAGATGAAAAAGTGAATTTTTGGCAATTAACCAGAAAATCATTGGACTGTACGTGCGTGATACCTCAAATAGGAAGATCTACTTTTAATAATGTAGATGCCTCAGAACGACTTCAAAAAGCTTTTATTGGGCATGTGAAGCAACCTGGTGGTTCGGCAGTCATACTTCTTAAAGGTCATATAATTGGAGTTCGCCGTGTTGAAAATCCTAATTTATCCATTAAAAAGAGTCATGGTGCTGAAGGTGAATGGGAAGTTTGGACTTTGAATATTAACGACCCTCACGTGTTCGAACCAATTGGAGAGGTTTATAATTTAGAAGAACATGATTATGTTGAATTTAAAGTTGAAACCATTTCATTGGTCAACGAAAGTGATTTGATCATGGAAGAACAACAACAAAAGAAGAAAGATATGTATAAACAAAATCACGAAAATGAAGAGAATTTAAGAGGGTTTACTAGACGGCGTAAAACTGTTTCTCATCCTAATGACCATAATGAAAATCATTCGCATGTTCACAGTGAAGAGGAGCATTTACAAGGTCAAGTTACAGATTTTAGACAACGAAGTCAGAAGCAACGAGTCTATCCAAATAACAGTTACAGTGACCGAACACCATGGTCATTTAAAGATACTGAAATGAATGAAATACTACCATTTGCTTATATACGACAAATTGTCAAAGTTGGTGAAGATGGAATAGCTGTCGCGTATGGCAATTTTGCAAAAGTTATATTGTTTAAAGAACTGGAACATGATCTATATCACTGAAGGCAGATACCTGAACACATGATAATCAATGCTATAATTGTTCCAAATGGAAATCTAAAAAAAAAAAAAGAGAAAAACAAAAAAAATATTGTATATACAATTTATTACTGTCGAACCTCCAATCGAAAATGCATGATGGACAGAGTAATCAGTTATGGCATCAGATTTAACATATCGGTTCTAGCAGTTTTAGGAGGTTCAATTAAATATTAGGAAAAAAGACCTAGCTCCACACTAGTGTTCCGCAAAGTCCAGATCCGGGCGGATTTTAATTGGACCCGTACCCGAACCGAAATACAAAAGTCGGGTC